CTCAGGGATGGCTGCGTGTAGCGTGGAGTCCACCTCAGGGATGGCTGAAACAGAAGTCTTTAGAGTCTCTAACTCAGTTAATAAAAAAAATCATATTCGGGGAGCAAAGAAAGACCAGGGATAGAAAGTAAAAAATCCTCCATCTGGGACAAAACGAAATCAAAGGAGGACGGGTTTCTTTTAGCGGAATTAAATAGTTCAAGAATGGTCTGATTAACATGAAAAATATATTCAGGGGAAAATGAATGAAAAAAGGGAATGTCTGTATGAGTGGGTGTGGTGACGGGTGCCGCCCCCACCAGAAACCTGGAAGGTGAGGCGGCGGGACACGCCCCCACGGAGTCACAAGGAATACTCTCCAGAGGTACGGCCAGGCTGGGTTGAACAGCCGCGGCGAGGAGTGGCGGTGAGAGGCCGGATTCCGCCCCCACCAGGAACCTGGAAGGTGAGGCGACGGAACCCGCCCCTGTAACGTCAACCGGACCGGACTCACCGAACCGAACAGGAGTGGACCGGAGCTCCCGCGGGACGCTGGATCTCGCCCCCACCGGAAACCTGGGAGGTGAGGCGGCAGACCCCGCTCCTACAAAAACACCGGAACCAGCTCTAAAGTTTTGCTCGGCCGACGAGACCGGGCCGGTCGCCGCAGACTGCCTCCGGCACGTCTTCTGCCACTACGGCGGCGGTGGGACGGTGGAAGGACAGGGACGGAGTGGAGCTCGTCCATATGGTACGAGGAGGAAAAAAGAAAAAAGGTGAGTGTTGCCGAGTGAGAACCCTTCCCGCTGGGTTCTGTTCTGGTCGGGTCGTACTGTCAGGATTTGTGTCAGGAGCGAACCCAGAGTGCAGAACAGGGACTAAACTCGGCAGGATTACAAAAATAGGATTTTAATGGTAAATGAAAGTACAAAATAAACAAGCTGACAGGGCAGCAAAACTTACATGAACATAGGAAGGAGGCACGGGGAACTCAGGAGACACGAGAGACACGGGGAACTCGAGGAACCAGGAAGACTCAGGGAAAGACTCAGGAGAACCAACGAAGACGACCCGACGAAGAACAAGACAGAACGGACGGCTTAAATACAGGGACAAGACGAGATGTGATAACAAACAGCTGGGATGAGACACAGGTGGCACTAATAGAACTAATGAGGGAGCACAAGGGAAACAGACACAAACCGGGCCACAGAAAAGTACCATCCTTACAATACCATTTCTAATGTTGAAGTGAACCACTCATTTTAAATCAACTGTGAAACAGTATTAATGATTTTTTAAACCTCTTTTAAATTAGAAATCAAGTTAAATGTCTATTTACAAAGTAATTATGCATTTTGATTTTCTGTCTAAATGAGAAGTCAGTGATATCGGTCAAAAATCAGAGACAGTCAGAAAAGAAGTTATTAGAACGGGCTGTATTGTTTTTAAACCTAGCAGACGGTAAAAAGAGAAACACTGGCATCTGCGTTGTCTCACTTCGCCATAACATTTCTCTGTCTGTACTAAACATTCCTAAACATCCCTGAACCCTCGCTTGACTTTCAATAACCCTCTGACATCACTAGAACCACCCCCTGTTGGTTGTTTCAACCAATCAGGAAGTCCTAAGTGACCGGAAGTGAGAACTCTTTAAAAGTCGACACTTCCTGGAACTATTCAGTCTTCTCAGTCTTCTCTTGATGGAGTCTTCTCAAGCCTTCTGGCGTCTTCCACTCCTGAGTGGGATCTCTGACTGAGTCACAGCGACTTGCTGTGAATCCATCCGGGCGTAACGGCCTCCAACTTCGAAGGGAGCTGAGCCTGTTTGTTGAATGGAGTAAATCGACACGACTTCTGACAATGACCAGCCACTCTAACCGGAGACGCTGGA